CACGCGTTTCAGCCTCCGAGCGGATTTCAACCTCATCCAAACCACTTTCTTCACCACTCTCCTCACAGATCTCTTGATCTTCTCCGTTAAGCTCTGTTTCCTCGAGAACTGGTAGCTCTTAAGGAACAGCTGTCTCTTCTCCACGTAACCTCCTCCTCCGTAGCCATACCCATAGTAACCGTTGTTGCTCTGCCAAACGCCGCCGCTGCTACTGTTCATGCTCATCGGAATCTTTCTTGGAGCAGATTCCGGTGACGGCTTGTAAATACTCAGCCGCCGCGACAAGAACCGCCGTCAACGAACAGTATTTTCGTTGGACAAATCTCAATCTCGCTTCAAGTGCTTCACGTTGTTGCTTTTAATATTGTTGGCCTGGCTTTTGCCTTTGCCCTATCTAACTTTTGACGTACCACTACTACTTTTACTACTCTGCTTTTAATGGCGTCTCGGTCTCATTATTCATATTTTTTTTAAACTATAAAATAAAAAGTCTCGTCAAATCAAATAGATAAACAAATACACGTATGTAGGTGAGACTTTAATCTAACTTCCCAACAAGTGAAAAAAAATCAATAGAAAGTTCAAAGTTCACGTTCTGCTTATAGTTAAAGCAAAAATTTAAAAAGTAGATGTATGTAGATTAAACATTTACATGTTGCGGATTTGATTGATTAAACAAAATTTGGAATGACATAATGATATTGACATGTTGATCCAACGAATTTTTATCGTATCTTTTGTTGCTGGGGTCTTAGGTGTATCAATATTTTCAGTTTACTAAAATTGTTTATGTAAGCAACTAAGCATAACAGAAAAACCAAATTTGGGTCTAACCTATAATTGATAAAATGTTAGCATAAATAGCACACAGACAAAAAAAATTATATAAGATTTGCGGTCTGAAAAGGAACATAAAAGGGAAGAGATGGCCTAACCGCTCCAAACAACATACAAAACACAATACACATAGCTCCAAACTCTATCTAACTCTTTCTAATTCCTCACCAAATGATCACAACTTTTTGAGTTACTGTAACCAAAATTCCATAATCATTTCATATCTACAAACCAAAGATTGTGAACCAAAGCAAGAACAAGTAACAAGCTGTGCAAAGGAAATGCCAGTGGAAGACTCATAAGAACAACAATGAACTAACATTTTCCTGCTTAGCAAAACAGACTCTGAGAGACTACTGAATCTAACACTTTTGTTACTGTTGTTAATGGTAGATATCAAATCATCTTCCTCACTATTTAGGTCCTGCACTTACATTAGCAGAAGGGACCTTGCTTGGGTAGCTCGATATATCAATGTCCATGAGCGACATGTCATACATCGTGGAAGCAGAGTCTGAGGCATCGACGAGCAAAGAAGATTTCATTGTCTCCGGGCGTGCAGGATCAGCCACACCGGAGGCTTTCGGTGTGCTTGGTCCTGAAGAGGAGTGACTCGAGACCGAAACACCATCCATCTTGTTTCCGAACAGGTGTTTGTTCTTTCTGACAGCATCCATTTCCTGACCAGTTGGCACAAATGTTCGTGCTCGGTACTTCGTTGTCCCTTCACCACCATCATTATGATTGTAGAGCACATAATCGTGATACGCAGGGGCAAACTGTAACAAAATCGCAACTACTCATCACCGCAACAAAGGGACACATAGTAATTTACTTAAATAGAGATGTTTTTACAAACGAATCGGTTACCTGGTGAACAGTGTCATGGTAGAAATCATTTAGTTGAACAGCATGTGCTAGGCTTCCAGAGAAACTGTGAGCTCCTCCAACATTGGCACCTGCATATTCCTTGTATGGGAATGCATAGAAATGAGCAGCTGCAGCTATAAGCATCTCCACGCATATAATGAAATTCTGGAAGAGAGCTGCTTCTTCTTCATCCCTTATATATCCAGACTTAGCAAAAAGGAAAACAAGAACACCCTGTAACACAAAGAGGTCAAGGACATTGTTAAAAGTCTGTGAAAACCAGCAAAGGGCAGAAGTTAATGCCAAAATTTAGTGATAGCAAGAGAATGAGAAACGTTACCTGCCAATAGGTTAAGAAGACAACAGACTTTATAATCACAAACTTTGGGACTGGATTGAATGGCTGAAGCAGATCTTTGCATGCCACATAAAAGAGGACCAGTGCGTACAAGGCCACTGTGTACGATATAGTATAGATGATGGTAAGATAGAGATATGACTGATCAGGGCTGAAATTTCCATCCTTGTATTTCCGTTTTGCGTAGAGCACAAGTGTGACAGCAACTAGGATTGGCTTTAGAATTACAAATTGCAGACAACCTTGCTTGCACCGCCGAATAAAACGCCTATGTCAAAACATAATCAGGTATGAGCCCATACATGTTAGCTAAGGCAGTTGTCATAGAGCACATACACGAGTTTATACATGCTGAAACTGAAACTGAAATCATAATGATGATAATATGCATGCAACCAAATGATTGACAAACACTCGTCCATTAATATCTCTCAGCATAGTTTTATCAAGAATTTATACAAATATTGTGAAAGATCGTAGGAGAAATCGAAGAAACATGCCAATGACACCAATTTAAGCACAGAGAAGGTAGGTTCATTTTGGAAACTAACCCGTCTAATGGAAGTGGTGGGAAGCAACATGTCATGAGATGCCACGATGGCTTCAGAGAGCGACCAGTTAAGCTTATAACCACAGAACCTGGGCCTCCAACCCATGCCAAACACAGCGATAGAAAATTATAAATCACCCACGCTTCATAACTGAAACATAAAAAGATATCACAAACGAAGCCTTAGGAACGTAAACCAACAGGTCTGCATTTGTTGACACCAAAGGATATAACTGAGTTCTAAAGGTTCGCTATCTATTCTCAAGGCTCAATGAGTAAGCACAATTCATGCTAAAGTAGCGAATATGAAAAATTCAGAGAAACACTCACACTTCTCGGATGGAGTTAAAATAGATGGAGCTTTTGGGCAACACAAGAGCTAAGAATGACATCAAGGCATAGACCTGTGGTGCCAAAAACAAACCACGAACATGTTAATTCAACACGAAAATGGAATTCACAGATCAGGATAGACAAACAGAAGCGAGCTCTTGGAAATGGTAATACTGACCGGGACCATGAAGACGATGCGCACAATATATCTCTGATAAATTGGTTCAGTGTAATTCAAGAGGTGCTTGTAGATATGGAATAAGGCCAAAGCAATGGCTCCCACAGTACACAGAAACGCCACAATAATGAGGTAAATGGGTAGCAAATCAGCCATTTTCTGCAAAAAGAAACAATTTTGGTTCTGAACAAATAAGGAAAATGCAAAAGGAGATAAAGGCAATAACCTGTACAAGAGGAGCTAACTGCCTCTTGATTTCCCCAGGAGGTCTCAGAAGACTGAAGCTTTACAACAGGAGAGAAAACCCCAAATCCGATCTCAATTTCACGATTCGAAGGCTTTTAAACCTCGATGAGCTTTCAGCAAGTGAAGCAGCGAAGAAAAGGGGCGAGATTGCATAAATGAAGCGAAACCCGGAATCTGGCTAGTCTACCCAATTCATTGATTGTTTGATTTTCTTCGATTTTTCTTTGACCAAGGTCAAAAACTCAAAATATGAAAAAAGTATCGTGGAGACGACTCGAACCAGGATTAGGGGCCAAGGGAGTAGATTTTAACCAACTAACTGTGATTTACTTTTTGTACTCTTTATCAAATGTTAATTAATTATATACTATAAACACTAATTGAAGTATTGAACTAAAGAAATATATAGAATAATTCAAACGTAAGGTCAACCAAACCAAGACTTAAAATTTGTATTTGAGATTGGACGACCAAAAGTTTATTGTTTTTTCTTAAAATCAGACAAGTGACTTAACATTAACTACGAAGAATTTGTAGGTTCAATATTTAGAGTTTTAATTTTGATTTAGAGAAAATCATTTAGAGTTTTAGTTTTGATTTAGTTTTCAAACTTTATATGTGACATATACATAAACAATTAATAGCTCATCATTTGTCTTATTGGAAAAAACTGATATGGTGCAAATGACATTCACAAATTGGAGTTTCATTAAAGGAGGGAGAGGGTAAATGTAAGCGAGACACAGAGTTTGTAATCAAATTTCCCAGAAAGATCAAGACTCTTCTTTTTATGGAAATATATCAAATTTTCAGTAATCAGGCAATAACAATGTCGAACGCTGTTTCCTTGTAATTCAATTTCATAAAAATTTCCTAAAACCTAAAGAAAGAAGATGATTTCATACCTTTTCCTTCTTCCGATCAAGATCGCAGAGATGGGAAAACTGAACCGAGAGTGTACCAATCGCCAAAGTGATCAAATTTTCTGTAATTAGGCAATATCAAAATCGAACCCATATCAGAAATGTTTCCTTGTAATTCAATTTCATGAAAAACCCAAAAAAAAAATGATTTCATACCTTTGTCTTTCTTCCCGTCACGATCGCAGAGATGAGAGATATGCGTCCAAAACTGAAAGGGAGTTGCAATTCGACAACTTGATCTTGCGCGAAAACACCAATCCTTTTTAAAAACCTAACCAATTTTCGGAATTCAGAGAGATGACAGATTAGGGTTTACGGTTTACAAATGCTTTAAGCGAGAGAGTTTGATCAATTATGAAGAAGAAAAGCGTCATTTATAAAGGCTACGAAAAAAAACCTTCTAACGGTTGTTTATTTCTAATCATTCTCATTCGTCCGATGAAAGAAATCAACGGCGAGACTATAATCTTCAGACTCACTTCAATGTATTTTTTATATACCATACTTCCTCTGTTTTTTTTTTAAATACAATTTTTTCTTAACTTTTATCTCTTAAAAGATAAAGAGCAAATTAATTGATTATATTTGCTTCTAACATTTTGTGTTATGCAGCTTGTTTTATGATTAAATGATTTATGTGTGTAAATAGAAATAAAATAATCTCACTCTTTCCCAAATTTAATATCATCATGGGAATCACCTAGAGTTACCACTACAAAGATGTAATAGCATTTTCAATGTATTATCACATTTTTTATTCTACAAAGAGGATGTGTTTTACTCCAATGTATTACTTCATTTTCAACCCCAATTCCTTTTCAAAATATATTCCCTTTTTTGTTTCTACTACTAATTGCTAAAATTACATTTAAACTATCTATCAAATTTACAAATTGACCCATTAACTTTTGTTTATTTCAAAATTTTCATAAACTATTAGATTACTAACTAGATGACACTCAATAGCAATATGATTTCTTGGGAAGATTCTTGTTCATAAATTTTACAAATTGATCGACCCATAGGGCAATATAATAGCTTAAGCGTATGAGAAGTTGACACCTAGCCCATCCACATCTATTGTCGTCGATGTGGGTTCACAAATCACAAAGGTCATCATACTTTTTTCTTATGTGAATCATGTACTGGGTGTACGTGAGCGATTTGTTTACCAGCTACAATTCACACACACTATTTTTTTTATAAAGACAATTCACACACACTATAGAATTTGAATCCAAGTGATAACACAGAAAAATGATTCTAATGAAAACTAGTAGATTACAGGTCTCAATTAAAACGGATCTGATAGTAGCTTCAGCAATTAAGCTACTATTTAATTTAATATTTTAATATGTCGGATGGTTTCAGATAGTGACTAGTGATAATTGTTTCTAATATACATGTGCAACTTAAACTGATTGCAATAATAAACTTTTATGTACTTGAATTTCTAACAATTATTTACTCGATATAAATAGTTAAAATAATAACTAGTCTTAGTTCCAATTACATTCGGCACGCTTCATATATTGGTTAAGCTACTAGCTTTTTTTTTTTTTTTTTTTACATCTAATTTTTTTAGCTACTAGCTAAAAGCCTAAAACCAATTCATGCATCTCTCTCATACAAAGACTATGGATTTTCTAAATGTTTTGCCACGAATTCTTTATTTATCGTTTGCATTTTGTTGAAAGAGTTTACATATCGATGCAAGAAACAATGTCTGTATATTACAGTGTAACTGTTTCACTAAACCCTATATTCAATTACAAATCACATTGGTCGAGATATACTTATTCGGGAATCTTGAGGGAGATCGAACGGCACAAAATTTAGACACGTGGACTGTGGCAACACAATCGGACGGAGGTGGAATTTTTGCAAAATCTCATGTAAAAGCAAGGAGTAATATACTAATATGTGTTAGAACTTAGAACTTTTTGAACCAATCATATTTTTGGGCTAACAAATTGTTTTATTATTAGTTTTTACAAATTGTTAATACTAAATTTGAGTCATTATCAGAGAAAAAAATGGTACATTTCTTTCCGAAGGCGCTCGAGGCTAAACAAACCATCAAGCTCGCCACCGGCGTCGAAGTCGCCACGTGTCGAAGGCGATTGACGAATCAGACTCCAGAGGATGTCAAGTTCACAATTGACGTCAGTCTCGTGGGGAGCTTCGACGTGATTAGAGGCAATTTGCCCGCCATGAGAGCAAGGAAAGGTCGTGGACCTGCCTCCATCTCTCTCTCTCTCTCGTGTCCTCTCAAGCCGGTCAGGTTCGTCTCTCCAAAATTCCCATCTCTGATTCAATAGGAATATCGGAGGTTGTAGTTGATTGCAAGCTCAGAACAAACTAGGGAGCAGAGAGTGAGAGGCATTCACAATTTTCAGTTTTTCTTCCAAAGTATTGATTTTACTAAATCAAGGCGTTGAATTAGCTTTGTAAACCTCTTGAAGATGGATGTTTTTGTAACTTTTCAGGTGGGGGATCTGTGGTTATGCACTTATGCTGCATATTCAGCAAGCAAGTTTGGGCTTGAGGGTTTTGCACAATCACTGCAGCAAGACATTCATGCCACTCTTATCTTTCCTCCACACACTTATACACCCGGTTTTTGAGGAAGGTAAAAACCAATACTCAGAAGCTTTAAAATCTCTTTCTTGAGATTCATTATGAGTATACAGTGGTACCACATGAAAGTAGCTAAGTGGACAACACGAAAATGCATACAAAGAGTTGGAGACAAACTATTTAAGGCTGTAGTATATGGTTGGGAGATACGAAGGAATGAAACTATTTTGGTTGTTATTATGAGTTAAGTACTGAGTACGACTCTGATAGTGTCTCGAATGAAGTTTCTGCGTCATTCGCTCACGTGATACTGTTTAGAAGAGAGTAAGGGATGCATTTTATTTTCCGATTGCAACTGCCAATTTCATTGAAGACTTATTTTTTCTCTCCTCAATATATATAAATTTACTTCTGGGGCGTTCCATGGTCTCTGAGAATGAAGTAAAAGCACTACTGACTGAAATGTTCTGAGTTGTTTGGTTCATATTATGAAGCTGGAGATGATGATAAGCGTTTATTTGATTTTCCTCGTTTTGCTCTCTCAGAACAGAAGAGCAGGCCTGAGGTCATTGCCATAATCATGCAAATTTTGTGTGGCAGAGACTTTAAACTCTGTAAGTTCACCAGTCTGCTGCTTGATTTTTTCTTCTCTTTTTAAAAGCTTACCTGGATGATAGTGAGATAAAAAAAAAATAATAATAATAATAATCGAAACCTTTTCCCCTCGCCTAAATGCTCTGTATGTTGGTCAGTGTTTTCCTTCAAGTGCTCGTACTATAGCTAAATGATCGTTGTTCTGATGTCTCTTTGCTTGCTTCCATGGTTGGGTTATCGCCGGAGCTCGCAGTTACTTAGCTGCTTGTCGGAGATGCCAAGTGTACGCCTGGTGGTGGTATGAAAAAGAATTTCAAATGTTTTTGTTATTGCTTACCCTTTGAGTATTATGATTTATGACTACAGCTGTAAAATTAATTCTCTCTTCTGTATCAATTTCTCGAACTTCTCGTGTACCAAGTAGGTTGTTGGAGGGTTGGATGAATCTTTGCCTTCGCTTCCCTCATCCGCAGGAGTGCAAGCTGTATCATATTCAGGTACATGTACACTCTTCTCTGTTATCTGCTCTGGAAACTGTAGTGCTATATATGTCCTCTGAAGTTAAGCAGGATTAGGAACATCCTACCAGTGCTATTAACAATTTTGTTCTGATTCTTAACAATCCTTGTTCCTTCAACATTTATACAACACTTGACATCTAGTAATCATATACGCACAAGTGTACATCCACACCTACATATCTCATCATAGTCTTCTCATTGAGATGTTATAGCATCACGTGTCACGTGTCCTGCAGTTGTGGTACATGTCGGTTTCATAGTTTTTTTACCACACAAATTTGTTTCAGGGTCGCAGTAATCCTCAGCCGTTTCTTCCACCGAAACCCGATGATGTTGCAACCATATGCTATACAAGCGGAACAACTGGGACCCCCAAGGTTTTGCTTACTTGAAATTTTAGTTGGCTTCAAATCTCGAACAGTACTGTTTTTTGGTTGCATGTTTTAGGGCCGTCTATAGCATCTAAATTACTCTTTATGTATGTTATCCTGTATGCCTCATTCCTCCCTGGCCTTCTCTTCTTCTGGATGGAAATATGATAAAGGGAGTCGTATTGACTCATGCAAACTTGATTGCAAATGTGGCTGGCTCCAGTTATAGTGTGAAATTTTTCTCCTCAGATGTGTAAGTGCTTTGGTTCTTTCTACTAAAAGACTAATAGCAAAAGATATTCAATGTTCTCATTTTTATCTAGTCTTTGTTTCAACTAAATAGCTGTAACTAATTTAGTCATAATCTCCTCTACTTTCCAGATACATTTCATATCTTCCGCTGGCACACATTTACGAAAGAACAAAGACGTCGTTGCTCCTGGTAAAATGAAGAGAAAGATTATCAACCCACGTATTATTCTCCTTGACTGCCCCCTTGAGTACAAGAAAGGGGCAGATGGTTGATCTTACTGACAAATTGGGTTGGCTTGTGTTGTTGATGTGCAGATAATCGGCTTGTGTAGAAGACGGCAAGGTGAAGGCGGTGAACCGTGAACGTGGAAGAAGCACCGTCTGACTTCAAGGTGTCGGGTGAAGAAGTAATTTTAGGACAGATCCAACTGCTGGAACTCGCCAAGTGTTTCGAGAAGTTGTTGTTGCGTCTGAAAATAAGTTTGAGACAGTCCTCTCTGATCTGTCTTTGCGGTACCATCGAGTGTCAAAGAAATCTCGAGAACATCAAGGAGACGGGTCATGTGGGAGAAGAGAAGAATTCTGTGTCCGGCCTTTTGCAGTGAGCTCGAATTTCCCTGGAGCTCTCACAATCTCAGGTTTCTTCCACATGTTGTCGTCTCCTCCAACACTTTCTTAACTGCATCGTTAGATTTTGCAGACTCTTTGATTTTCATATTACGATTCGATTTACTTTCTGATTCATTTTCTTGACCTTAAAAGATGAGTGCAAATCTTGGAGAGAGAATAAGTGAGTTTGGAGGCCAACCCTGCGCATGGCTGTAACTTGTTTGTAATACACTTTCTGCCACGCCGACATGTCAGACTTGAGTATCACCTGTGTCACTAAAACAACATTGCATTCAGAGTCTTGTAAGAAACTGAAATAAATATAGCTGCAGAACCCACATGGTGGATAAGGATAATCAACTGGACTTAAACTGGATAAGTTTGGTTGTAATACTTGGGCTTAAACTGGGCTTACGAGCTTTGTAATACATTTTGCTTTTTCTTTTCTGCTTTTAATTGAATATCGTTTAAAATTAAAAAAAAAAAATATATATATATATATATATAGAAGAATGGTAAATCGAAAAAGGGAAAGAAAGAAAAAGAGAATGGTAAATCGAATTCGAAACCACTAATCTCAAAACTCAAAAGGAAAGGAAAAAGAGGAATCCTATATATATAAGATGAGATGAGATGAGATGAGATTGATTGCTCTGTGAATCCTCTCGTCTGTAAGTTTAAGTTATTAGTTTTAAGGATGAGAAACTCTCATTGTTGGAGATGCGCTAACAAGAAGAATCGAGTCCGTCGAAAGCTGGATCAATCCCATAATCATGTATCTACAGATCTGTTGACGGTGTGGAATGAAACGGCACCGCATCATAAGAGAAGGAAGGAGGAGGCATCTCAGTCATCTCCGTCGTCGTCGTCGTCGTCGTTTGAGTTGCTAGATTCGTTGCCTAAAGCGGTGGCTATAGATTGTCTGGCCCGCGTATCGAGACTGGACCACGCGGCCTTGTCTCTGGTCTCCACAAGCGTCCGGTCACTGGTGGTTTCGGTGGAGCTCTACAAGGCGCGGTCGGCGATGGGCTACGCGGAGAAGTTCGTCTACATATGCTTGAGCATGCCTCCCGACCCAAACCCACGCTGGTTCATCCTCCGGCCGACTCTAGACTCTGCCACCGGGAAGACTGTGAATCGGGCTCATGCGATCCCGTCGCCTCCCTCTCAGCCTCCGGAAGGATCCGCCGTGGTGGCGTTGGACTGTGGGATCTACGTAGTGGGTGGATTAGTCGACGGGAAGCCCACCTCGGGTGTTCTGCTCCTGGACTGCCGGTATCACACGTGGCGCCGCGTGAGCCCCATGAGAGTGGCTCGTGCTTCCCCGGGAGCTCGCGTGGTCGACGGAAAGATATACGTGTTGGGAGGCTGCGAGGACGACAAGACATGCTCGGAATGGGGAGAGGTGTTTGACCCAAAGACGCAAACTTGGGCTGCCTTGCCAATCACGCTAGAGGAGAGTACGGATACGGATACACGCCCTAGAATGGATTTGATCCGGGACAGTGTGGTGATAGATGACAAGGTGTACGTGGCGGATGCAGGGAACAAAAGCTTCTTCTACTCGCCGAGGGAGTGTAAATGGGGAAGAGGAAAAAAGGATTGGTCTGAAAAGGAACAGATCAAAAGGGATTGGTGTGTGACAGATAAGGGATTGTTATTGAGTTGCGGTAATGACGGGTGTATATATTGGTGTGAGCCAGGGGATTTGGATAGGTGTGATACAGTGGGGTTGGATTGGAGGGAGGTGGAGGGTTGGGAAATGCAGTGTCTGGAGGAGCAGCTCCATGATTCGAGAGTGGTCCACTACAAGACCGGCGAAAACCTTGAGGACTTGCTTCCCGGGGCCAGATTGACCAGCTTCGGTCGGAATGTCCTCGTCTTCTGGGACAAACTCGTTGGTCCTCGTGGTCGCGAGAAGAGCTCCGAGATTTGGTGCGCCGAGATTGCCTTGGAGCGCTGTGTGAGAGATGATGGGGGATGGGATGAGTTTGGCAGCGTTGTGTGGTCCAGTGCTATCCTCACACCCACAGCCGATCCTCTCTTGTGTCGCTCCAAACTCTTGTATGCTATCTCTCTTGATGTCTGATGGCTTTTGTTGTCATGTTTTTGTTGTTTTATTTTATTTTTGAACTGATATAATTATTACATGATATAATTGCAGGTGATGGTCATGAAACTGCGACTAGAATGATCAAGCCAGGAAATAAAAAACAGGGGAGGATGCCCAATGGAGATAGATGCCCAATTTTCTGTCCGGGAAATTAAATTGGCCTGCTTTAGGTCTGGTTTAGTTGATAGCTACCAGAGTAATTTCGTAGGGACGAAATGATCCATGTAACCTAGTCTAGTAAAAACAGATATATACATGTACATGTTTTAACCTGTGGGCTGTGGCAGTCTGACATATTCTCTAGAATCATTCTACTTCAAGAAAAATAGACAAATTACAAAAACGAACGTATTAACATGTCAGACTGCCACAGCCCACAGGTTACATCGGTAGGAAGAACTAGACCATCTAAACACTTAAATCTCTAGACAAGAATGGGAGCTAGTTCAAAACCTAACAAAATATTCTATTTTTCTTTAAGAAATTTTTGGGAATAATCTTATTCCCTTCGACTGCAAGTCTACCCAATAATCTTATATCACACGCCATTTTTTATTTTATTTTTTTTTTTTTACTATCAAGCTGTAAAAAACACATGTCTTCACTATTTTATTTTAGTTCTCACTTGTCACACACTATATTACATATTTGTAAGTTGTAACCACATCAGACCACTTATTCATATTCTGATACATATTTTTTTCGTGATCACTTTAAACTTGTACATTAACAATGACGATTAATATTTAGAAGAAAACCTAGCTTCAAGAAACTTAACCACGTTCACATCCAGCTGAAACGCTTTAGCTAAAATCTCCGGCATAATCAAAGGCTTCGATCCAAAAACTGCGTCTGCGATTGTGATCGTTCCTGGATTTTGGCTTCCAAGACCAGCAAACGCAACGGCGTACGTCCTCCCAATATTCACTTGAAAATGAATCATTCCGATGGGAAACACAAATACGTCTCCGGGATAAAGAACCTTGGAGAATAGCCTGTTGTTGTCTTGGTTCGATGACACAAACCCGACTAAGAGCGTTCCTTCGACAAGGACGAGGATCTCGGTGGCTCGTGGATGCGTGTGTGGCGGGTTTTGACCGCCCGGGGCAAAGTCGATTCGGACAAGAGACACTCCGAGGGTGTTGAGTCCGGGGATTTTGTCGACGTTAACGTTAGTAACGTTGGACCCCACACGGTTTATGGTGTTTCCAGGGATGTTTAGTCCGGAAGTAAAGAAGTCTTCGGCTTTCACGTAATTTGGGTCTTTGCAGAATTTTCCATTCACGAATACTGAAAAAAAAGATGAAAAAAGCGTACTACAGTAGAAACTCTATAAATTGATACTCGATATATTAATAAACTCTATAAAATAATAATTTTCTCCAGTCTCAAGTCGGGCCAGTGTAAAAATTAGCAAAATTCGATAAAATAATAAGATAATAATATTTTTGAAACTCCTATGTAAATATATGGTCCCATTAATATCATAAATTAATAATTACCATAAATAATTTTATGTAAATACATATCTATGATAATATACTAAAATATAAGTATAACTTTCACTTCTTTTCTACTAAAACTCAAATATATTTAGAATTCATCCCTAATTTTAGAATGAACTATACAAAATATAATTTTAAAATTCTTATTTTTATTTAATTTAATATATTTTTTAATAAAACAACTATTTTATTCAAGATCGATAATTTAATAACTCTATAAATTAATAAAATATTAAAGTCCCAACTTTATTAATTTTTAGAGTTTATACTGTATATTAATGTTGCATCATCGACATGTTATGTACAGATCATATGTGTTTTGTTGCTGTTACGACCAATGACTTGGTATTTTTTTAATGTAGTACGTAATTAGTATTGTTATACAACATGGGACAGAGCATGAATCGAATTCCTACGAGCACATGAATTCATTTCACGGTATATATATAATATATTTGCACGTTATTATTTCAACTCAATTAATCTGACACGATATTCACTACCATTACTTCAGTTTCTAGTTTAAATTTTTTTAATTAACACATAGTAATAGTATATCACAACTTGAACTAGCTGGTATCATTTTAAGGAATCATATTAATATATAACAGCAAATAGAGATTACCGCCATTAGCGTCATCGACAGCAACACAAAAGTCCTGAAGAGGACTTGGATCGTAACAAGATATGAATGACGATGCTAAAGCCAACATGATGGCTTTGGCTACAAGGAAGCGAAGAAACCCTTCCATTTTTTTGGTACTTACTATACGTTTTTCTGTTTCTTTCTCTATAGTGTTGTCGTAAGAAGGATTTGAGAGATATTGCACGAGGAGGATTCACTATTTATAGTACAACAAATCATTATTTTTTCAAGTATAATGGGTATTTTTATCAGATTAAGAGTCGTACGAGAATTTAGTGGTTATATCCCATTGGTGAATCTGCAATTCAGAGTTTAAAAGATTAATCAGCCGATGGCCAAACTTTTTATATGTTTAAAATTGGAAAATAACCTTGGACAAACTTTATTTAGTAAAAAACTTAAATGAGTTAAGAGAGATAGATGATGCAAATGCATTCGGAAGATAATATAGGTAGAGGGCAGAGGTTACACACGTGTTAAAGAAAATAACATGGTATATTTTATAGAGCTAGTAGCAAAAAAATATGTGATGTGTTTTTCTTCAAATCACACATATAATATTAAGGTCAACCAAACCAAGACTTGAGATTGGACGACCGATTAATTTATTTTCCAAAAACAAACAAGAAGTTTATCAGTATACGAAGAACTTGTATGTTCAAGATTTAAGGTTTTAGTTTTGACGATTTCTTTTACAAGTTCAAAATTTAAATGTGATATATACAGAAACAACGTATTATTATTAGCTCATCTTTACCTTAGTGGAAAAACTGAAATGGTGACACTCACAAATTGGAGTTTCAAGAAAGGAGGCGAGAGGGTAAATGTATGACATATTGGTAATTTTTGTTTGAGTGCTCTATCCATATATCTTACAAGTCAATCATAGTTATCTAAATGTTTGAGCTTCGATACCAAATATTGGAGTACACGACATTTTGAAATTGAAAATTCCATCCTCGTATAAAAAGACAAATTCGTTTTAAATCTATAATTAGTTCAAAATACATGGAATTGTAGTGATGGCTACATAGTAGTGCATAGTAGTGCAGAGCCACTTAATCAAAGTGCCCTAACCACTAATACGATCATCATTATTCAATTACAATGTGTGAATATTTGTTTGGAAATACACAAAATCACGTGCATTGCAAGTTGTCGACTTTCACTCAAAATACAATTTTTTTTTTTGGTGTGTGTGTATGGGGAAGTTTCATTCCAGAATATTGTTTGATAAAGGTTCCATTGCAGTAATAATACACGAAATCGTTTCTATTCGTTTAACTGTCTTATTTCCAAAGAGGCCGTTTTAAGATTTGTTAAGTGTTAAATATCACATCCTTTATAAGATATGAAATGAAATAACCTAGAATAATATATACTCACCAGTCATGCACCAGACTCACCACCAGTTAATTTTATAGCAATTTTAACCATGAACGTTATTCGCTGGCGTAGACAAGACAAGAGCGCTCGAGCCAACTCCCTTTGACTCGGAAATCACATATCTTCTCCTCTTTGTTGTGACTGAGAAACATATCAAGCTTCGTCTTAGTAAGGGCATTCTCTAACCGCTAATTGGTAGTAAAAGAGAAACCACCAAAACGTGAATTATACTATTTGATATTATACTTTCATTTTTGGCTGTATAATCTTTTGTAATTTGACTATATAAACTCAATTTGATCATTAAACCACATTGGTGCAGTGGGAAGCATTGTGACATACTGACATTATTCGAAGATGTCATGAGTTCGAACTGTGGCAACTAAGTTTAAAAGCAAAAAAAAAAAAAAAAAAAAAAAAACTAAATTTGATAAATATAAATGTTAGTGTGATGGAAAATATGCATAAAATAAATAAATTGAAAATGAGTATATATTATGGGCTTTGATCAAATTTAAAATAGACTTATGGGCTTATGGGCTTTTCAATCCTGAAAAGGAGACTAAAGAATTGAGAAGCAAGCAGAGTAAATGAATGAACCCTAACCATTTTCCACACTCTCGGCGGTGATTCAGTTTCCTCTTTTTAAATTTGCTCCGTCTCCGTCACTAAGCTTCTCTTCTCCGATCCTCCGTTTAATCTCAGATCGCAAATATGAACTCCAATGTTCTTGTTCTCAGTGAGTATCTTCTTCCTCTGCAGATCTCGTATCGCCCCTTTGAATCTGTATTGTTTTTTTGTTCTTAATTCTCTTAGCTCTGTGTTCCAAGTTGTTAATGTCACTGCTTCGTGAAATGTTCAGAGGACACGTTGAAGCGCGAATCTGGATCAAAGGTTCAACATGGTAACATTCAGGCTTCAAAGGTATTGAATTCTATATTTCCTTCTACTTAATTCAGTTGTTGCTTCTCTCTCTCTACCTCTCTTTGATTTCTCTGCTACGAATCATGGTTTCACCATAGATCTATGTTCAATCTTACAGGCTGTGGCTGACATAATCCGGACTACACTTGGCCCTCGCTCTATGTTGAAGATGCTTCTCGATGCTGGTGGAGGTATATTTCTCTGCTTTCGCATCTTCTTATCACTGTTTACTCTTCTCTATAGATCTTCAATGTGACGAGGATTGATTAGGTTAGGGTTTATGCCTTTTCAAAGATTCAGTCTTTACAGATTTGTAATTTAAATGTAGTCTCCCTTTGTCAAAGCTAGTGTAGCTCACTTTCTGAATTAGTAGACATAAACCCTAAATAATTGTGGGTTTTGATAATGTTTGATTTGTGGATCCTTTCTCATCTTCGAAGTTCTGAACTCTTTGTTTCTTGCTATTTTCAGGGATTGTTGTTACCAATGATGGAAATGCTATTCTGCGTGAACTAGATGTTGCTCATCCTGCAGCTAAGGTTTTACTTCTTCCCTTTCTCGCACTTCTAAGTTGTCTTCTCACTGTTCCTTTTCTGATGTTTTGTTCTTTCTATGTGTTGATTGCAGTCGATGATTGAGTTGAGCCGTACACAGGACGAAGAAGTCGGCGATGGGACTACATCTGTTATTGTTCTTGGTATGTACATAATATCTGATGATTCTGTTGTTGAAATGATTCTCTGCCTCTAGGTGTACTTTGAAGAGTGTAATAGGCACTGCTTTGTTTTTGTTTTATTTTGGATTTGGCACTCAAGTCATATGCATGTTTCCTGCTGTTCTTACTCTAGCTGATTTCTTTTCTCTTTGTCTACAGCTGGTGAAATGTTACATGTTGCTGAAGCATTTATTGAGAAGAGTTACCACCCCACAGTCATATGCCGAGGTATACTTGCGTTTGATTTGTTACCATTAGTCAATGTTGTATTTTTTACTGTCTTCGTTTGAAAACATGTTTCTTCTCTGCAGCGTATAACCAGGCCCTCGAGGATGCTATCGCTGTTCTCGACAAGATTGCCATGACTATCGATGTCAATGACCGTAAGTCCCACCTCTACCTTTGTTTTTGATATTTTATAGCCAAGTTGGAGGAACTTTTCTTTCTGATGCACATAATGTTTGTGTTGCAGGTGCAACTGTCCTAGGATTAGTCAAGAGCTGCATAGGAACAAAATTCACTAGCCAATTTGGTGATCTGATTGCTGTGAGTACTTCAATTACTGAGCATATTTCTTTTTGTGTCACAGGGCCGTCTTTTTTACTACATTACACGATAAACTATTGTACATTAGAAAGCTACCTACTAAGATCTCACAAGTGACATTATTTACTCTGTTTTCCTGGCTTTTTGAATGGATTGTTACAAAGTATTTTGCTCAAGTTCTCACATGAGTTTTTGTGGCTCTTCTAGGATTTGGCTATTGATGCCACTACTACCGTTGGTGTTGATCTTGGACAAGGATTGAGAGAGGTGGATATTAAGAAGTACATCAAGGTTGAGAAGGTCCCTGGTGGTCAGTTGGACGACTCCAAGGTTCTCAGAGGAGTCATGTTTAACAAAGACGTAGTAGCTCCTGGTAAAATGAAGAGAAAGATTATCAACCCACGTATTATTCTTCTTGACTGCCCCCTTGAGTACAAGAAAGGTGAGAACCAAACCAATGCTGAGTTGGTTAGAGAAGAGGACTGGGAAGTGCTGTTGAAGCTGGAAGAAGAGTACATCGAGAACATCTGCGTGCAAATACTAAAGTTCAAGCCCGATTTGGTAATTACCGAGAAGGGACTTAGCGACTTGGCCTGTCACTATTTCAGTAAAGCTGGGGTTAGTGCAATCCGAAGGCTGAGGAAGACTGACAACAACAGAATTGCCAAGGCATGTGGAGCTGTAATTGTGAACAGGCCCGACGAAATCCAAGAGTCTGATATTGGTACTGGCGCTGGCTTGTTTGAGGTCAAGAAGATAGGAGATGATTTCTTTGCCTTCGTTGTTGATTGCAAAGAGCCTAAAGCATGTACCGTACTCTTAAGAGGACCAAGCAAAGATCTCCTCAACGAAGTCGAAAGAAATCTTCAGGTGTGTGAATGATATTATTTACTTAACCTAAGATATCATCATCAGTCAAAGGCATTAACATATATGCCTATGATACATTCTTCGTATAGGATGCCATGTCTGTATCAAGAAACATCATTAAGAACCCGAAGCTTGTTCCCGGCGGTGGAGCCACAGAATTAACAGTTTCTGCCACTTTAAAACAGAAGAGTGCAACAATCGAAGGAATCGAAAAGGTTTGCTATGGTTTTTACCGCTTTGCCTAAGTTGTTATCTTTTCGTTGTTGAATGGAAGCTCTAATTTCGAGTGTTATTGACAGTGGCCGTATGAAGCAGCTGCTATAGCTTTTGAGGCTATTCCTCGTACTCTAGCTCAGAACTGTGGAGTTAACGTGATCAGAACTATGACAGCGTTGCAAGGAAAGGTATATTTACGTCAACCATTTATTCCATATCTAGACACTTGTTGATACCGAATATTTTTCTCACTGATTTGATTTCGTTGGTAATATTAGCATGCAAATGGTGAGAATGCATGGACCGGGATTGATGGAAACACTGGTGCTATAGCTGATATGAAAGAGAGCAAGGTATGATTATGAAATGAAGCTTTGCTCTCTCTCTGGTGAATCTATATGTTTCTTGAGACCTTAAAAACTTTTCAACTGTGTGATTAGATATGGGATGCGTACAATGTCAAGGCGCAAACGTTTAAGACAGCGATTGAAGCGGCGTGTATGCTTCTGAGGATTGATGACATAGTGAGTGGTATCAAGAAGAAGCAAGCTCCTGGATCTGGACCTTCAAAGCCTACCATTGAGACAGAAGGAGATGCAGACAACGAGCAAATACTTCCCGACTAGGAACTTTCGTCTCACCAACTTAATCTTTCATCTCTTTTTGTTTTCTTGTTGTTACTATTTTTAGTATTGCATTGTTTGTGAAACTTGAGACTCCCTTCAATATCTTGTGATTTTGCATTTTGGCTTGGCGGGAAGAGATGTTGAGGGGAGTGATTGCGATGAATCTTTGTTGGTATGTTTTAATAGTGAAACATTGAAAGACGTTGATAAGTGCAGACGGTTTGTGTGGTCCAAATAGGTTTTGGTTGGTGATTCACGGCTTAACCGAATTTCTTGTTTGGTAATTGGTGGTACAGCTATCAAAACAGATAAATCTATTATTCTTATATTTTTTTTCACACTACCGTAGCCATAAACTTGTAACGAAAATTTTGTAAATTTTCACTTACAAGACAGAGGCAAATTTTGTAACTAAAATTGAATTTCTTATTTTTCTATATTGCAAATGTAAAACTTCAAAACCGCTTCCGAAAGCTTGCATTTGATTGCATAAAGCTTAAATATGTGGTTTCTATGTTTGAATATAATTTGATGATGTGGCCATAATATGATAATGAAAAATTGTAAACTAAGTAAAGAATGCGAGGGGATTTTTCGTGGAAATTTCATTGATAATACCTAACCTGAATCAAACAAGTTGGTCTTATTGAAACTACTAACTAATGCTCCCACGAAACCAAAAAAAAAAAGACGAAAGAATCAAGAACAGCAAAAGAAAGAAACATAAACGGAACAGAAAAAAGAAAAGACAAATCAAAAGAGAACTGACTTTCAAACACTTCTCTTCTCCACGTCATGACGATCATCTTCCTCAAGCATATACCTTTTCCAGAACCAATGTGGCTTCCACACACTCTCTCTCATGTCATCAATGGCGACTCCTTTCGTCTCCGGCACGAAGAACATCGCAAACAGTCCCATCACAATGATCCAAGCAGCAAAGAAGAAGAATATTCCCGATCTCATCCCGCAAAGCATCGACAAGAAAGCCTGCGCTATCACGAACGTGAAGAACATGTTGCACGAGACTGCAACAGCGAACCCTGCGCTTCGTGTCTCCAAAGGAAATGTCTCACTAGGGATCAACCATCCTAAAGGTCCCCATGACCAAGCGAATCCCATCACGAAAACGCACACAAAGATCACCACCACTAGTGCTTGTGGCCTTCCGAGTGTTCCCGTTGTACCGAGATCTTTCGCTAGGATGATTCCAATGATCAACTGTTGAAATGTGGAAGAAAAATGTTAGGTTAAGATAATTACTTGAAACCTAAGTCAAGTTACTTGCTCAACAAGAAAGAAAGAAACAGAGAGATGATGTAAGGACCTGGCAAATGAGCATGTGAACGGAAGATTGGAGAAGAAGGAATCTCCGGCCGGTTTTGTCGACGAGGTAAATCCCGACGAACGTGCTGAGAACGTTGATGGTTCCTGTGACAACCGCAGAGAGAAGAGCTGCGTCGTTTCCGAATCCAACGGTCTGGAACAAAACCGGTGCGTAGAACATAATGGCATTGATTCCGGTGAACTGCTGGAAGAGCTGGAGAAGCATTCCGATGATGAACGGTGGTCGACTCGCGGGCTTCAACAGTTTCCTGTAAGGGTCCTTGACTTGACTAGCGATGTCGCATGCATGGACGATGTTTTCATACTCGTCGTTGATATCTTCAACTCCTCTGATCTTCCTTAGGGCTTCTTTGCCTTCTTCGTGCTTGTTGCGCTCGATGAGGCTCGTGGGGGTCTCGCAGATGACAAGCGAACCTAAGAGGAGGACAATCGCCGGAATTCCAGCTCCGCCGAGAGCAATTCTCCATCCGTAAGGGTGAACCGTGGCAGTGAAGTAATTGACAATGTTGGCAATTAGGATTCCGATTGTAACCATGAGTTGGAACACAATGTTGAGTCCTCCTCGGAGCTGTGCCGGAGCAATCTCCGATAGGAAAAGCGGCACTGCCTGCACATTTCAGGTGCATACAAAAATGTGTTTGGTCATTTCTAGAGAAATGCAAGAGCAAAGATTTGTTTTATATGTTATATGTATACCTGATTGCCAAAGCCGACGCCGAAGCCAAGCAAGATTCTTCCGATGATCAACATGACGAGGTTAACGGCTCCTGCAGTGAGGCCAACACCGATCAAGAAGAAGATAGAAGCGAACTGCATCGTGGGCTTGCGTCCGAGCTTAGAACAGGTAGCGGAAGCCAAGAAACTAGCCACGAGCGCGGCTAGGTAAAGAGACGATGTGAACAGCTGTAGAAACTGGTTATCGTACTTGCAGTAATTGTTCTCGTGAGCGAGCTTCTTCTTCTCCCACACCGCCGGGAAGAAATCTTTCAGGAAATCGTCCATCGCCGTCACTCCACCTTTTTTAAATCACAGATCAGTAATTAAACATTAGTTTAAAGAAAACTAAGATAACTTTAGATACAAGGTAGGTTGATTTAGTTTTCTTGATAGAGAACAAACCGGAAATTCCGATGTCGTAACCGAAGATCAAACCGCCAACGGCGGCAATCATAACGCAGACGAAGACGTAGACAGTCATCTTGGCTTCGAAAGCCGGAGCATTACCGTTAGCCGAAACAACAACAGCCATGTTTGGTTAATCTCGATCAGACACCAGTTAGACTCAGTATATAGACAGAGAGAGATGTAATTAGTGTTTGTATGTGTGTCTTTGTAAGCTAAAGATGAAACATGAAGGAAACTGAAGAAGGAGACAGAGAGACCCTGCTTGAAATGACAGAAGCTGTTGGATAAAAGACAAAGGGAGATCACATATATATAGGAGATGACAGAGTTCTCAGACCAAACTGAGATCCAGACCTGTCTAAAAATGGGATTGTCTTTTTTTGATAGCAGACCCGAGATCTAAGGTTTTTGTATGGTCTGTAAATCTTGTTTTGGGATCATCATGATCTTGTTTTCTCTTTCCCATTACACAGTCAAGTCTTGCCGTACCACCAGATTAGGGGTACTTAACCACGATAACCAAACCGATCCAAATAAAAACGGTACATAAGGACTAAGGATTTAACCGGATCTCTTTTTTTGTTTCATGATTTCTAGAAACTATAATGAATCATATCACATTAGTTGGTTAAAATGATAGTCTTAAGAATTGTTTCTTGTATTACTACTATGTATAAACTATAAAGTAACAAGCAAATAACAATACTAGACGATTTAGGTTAAGAAATCTCTAAGCAATTTAAATTTCATTTTCGGTATTTTTGTTTTCTTTCTCTTTTGTATCTTGCTAATTTGGACATGGTCGGATTTATCACCAAATAATACAGTTTCATGTAAACTGAAGATCGAATAAACAGTAGAAAACCAAAATAAGCCAGACCACACCAAAAATCTTCTGACTTGGTTACAATAATACCTAACCAAAGAATACCGAAAACGGAAAAGTCGAAAACCATAACTATCTCTTATTGCGTGTGTATCTGTCTTTACCCAATCCACACAGTCTATGTGGATCACGGAGATAAGTGCGTGTTTTGGATAATGATTCATTGATTATAGATTGAGGCCACCGGTTAGTTAGTAGAGATAAGATCCCAAAACCATAAAACGTTGAATAAAAGATTGTCGTTTCTTGGCAGTACGAAGATTCTCCGAATTGGTTGTATAAATAGTTTGACAAATGTAGCACCTTTATTACCTTCACTATTCAATAAAATACTGTATGTAGCAAGAACATAAAAAAAAAAAGAAAAAAGAATACAATTTGGGATGAACATATTTATTTAATAATTATTTCACGTGTGAGCTTTTTATTAATCACAGCGATTACAGGATCATCACAAAGCTTTATTAGCAGTGGGATCAGAAGCAGCAAGCTCCTTGTACATGTTTGTTATAGCTTCTGCGAAATATTCCTTTGCCTGTGGTCTCTTAATCTGCAAATTCCAATCAAACCCAAATTAAAAAAAAGCAAGTTCGCATGAAGAATATTATTCGTATATGAATTTATCGTAGAACTTACCTTGAATGTTGGAGTCAACAAGCCATTTTCCAACGTAAATGGCTCCAACACCAATGTCACAGCCTTTGCAAACTCAAAGCCTCTCAACTGCAGTATTGTATTTTAAGTCAGTGAGCGTCTTTGAGAATGTTACTAAGATGAAATAAATAAAAATGTTTCTGTGAGATGCATTGCCTGAGCTTCTCTTCCGATAGAGTCCATGTCAGCGAGTACTGCTGCTTTCACTCTCGGGTTATTGCACAATTCTCTCAGATCTCCATGCTGCATTTATCATAGAGGTTATAAAATGTTAACATAGTGAGAATTTGGTGAAGGATGTTTAAAAAAATCACCTTAATGCCTTCTAAAGCAGCCCAGCTTTTCAGCACATCTGGATCAACCGATACAACAGCGACCAATGATGAATTAAAGCTATCACCTGAAAGAAAATGGAAACAGGTGAGTGAGAATGAGATGGGGAGAGAATAAAGCAAAATGATTTATAAATTTTATTTTTCTCTTACCATATATGAAGCATTGGCCTACGAATTTGCATTTGGCATAGACGTTTTCGATTTTCTCTGGAGCTATATACTCTCCTTGCGCCAATTTGAAAATGTTCTTCTTCCTGTTCAAAGAATGAGGAAGTTTTACTAACAAAAAGGGTACCAGCAAGACCCCAAAAGTAATATAATAATCGAAGTGATTGAAGAAAACCTGTCAATAATTTTTAGACGTCCTCCGGGAAGCCACAGGCCTATATCTCCAGTGTGAAGCCATCCATCTTCATCAATCACTTCTCTCCTGAAAATTATACATTTTACTGAAAAGGATTAGACTTTGGTTCACTTTGGTTAGTGAAAGAAGAATTTGCAATGCGATATGTGTTCATACGTTTGAACTTCATCTTTGTAATAGCCTCTGAAAATGATAGGACCCCTGACGCATATTTCGCCGCGGGGATGGGGGTGATCGGTTGCTGTATAGTTCATTTCCGTGACATCCACAAGTTTTACTTCTGAAAAGGGAATGCATGTTAGATCCCACAGAGGAATAAATTGTACACTTCAGTTCCAAATTACTCTATTTATCTTATCGCAGAGTCGGTAAAACGCTCACCGCAGGCTGGATTAGGAGAGCCAACATGTCCGGTGAGGTTGTCACCCTCGTCCATACCACTTATAACACATGATGTTTCAGTCATTCCATATCCCTCTGTTACCCTTCCTCCAAAACATCTACAGTGGTCATATCACAAGATCAAATCAAAAGATGATAGAAAATCACAAGCTAATGTCAAAACAAGTCTTTAAGGAAACAAAAGCCAGAGATTGTTGGGACTAAAAAGTGTTCATTCTTGAGGATGACGTCTAGTCTACTGTATAATATGGCAGAACACAGTGTTTAAGAGCGAGGAACTTACATTTTCAAAAATTCCATCACTTCAGGAGACAGAGGTGAAGCCCCAGACGTCAAGAAACGAACCCTTCCTCCAAGTCTGTCCTTTATCTTATTAAAGACCAATCTGTCCCATATGGGAGAAGCACTTTTTCCTGAACCAACAGAACCCAAACAAAGGAAATCAAGCCTAAACTGTATACAAGATTTGAGCTGTGTATTAACATGGATACAAGAGTTGAGCTGGGTCAGAAATTATAACACAAGTCTGCATAATTGCATAGATTGTTTGAAAAATGTAAATAAGCCTATTATGCGCAAACAAAATTAATGTCCACAACAGGACCTACCATTCAAGAGCGCCTGCTTCTTTGCATTATAGGCAGCATTAAAGAGCCTCTCCTTCAGCCCACCAGAGGATTTTACTGCATTAGTGATACTGGCAACAGCAATTTTACCGTTAATTCAGTGAACCACGAAACGCAGCAAAGAGCGCATATCAACAAACCGAAGCCATTATTACCCATCATATATTCTGTTGTATAATCGAGGGACGCTGCTGAATATAGTAGGTCTCAGAGCAGCCAAATCATCCAGTAGTTTCAGGTTGTCCTGCAAAAAAAATTTCCCAAGTGGTTCGTCCAATCAAATCAATAGAAGAATTTGAGGTTGGGGCATGGGAGAATTATAAGCAAAGACTAGATCACAGCATTATGATGGAGCTATGGATAGAATCTAATAAAAATCTGGACGTTCTGCCTTCGCGCTTAGAAACAAATATATGCCTAATAGTTTGCTAGAAGAAGAAAGTTCAGTTTCCAACCCCTTGGTAGAATCCAACAGCAACTCCAAAGTACACTGTTAGGATCTGATTTGCTCTTTCGTAAATGTGTGCCAGCGGAAGATATGAAATGTATCTGGAAAGTAGAGGAGATTATGACTAAATTAGTTACAGCTATTTAGTTGAAACAAAGACTAGATAAAAATGAGAACATTGAATATCTTTTGCTATTAGTCTTTTAGTAGAAAGAACCAAAGCACTTACACATCTGAGGAGAAAAATTTCACACTATAACTGGAGCCAGCCACATTTGCAATCAAGTTTGCATGAGTCAATACGACTCCCTTTATCATATTTCATCCAGAGGAAGAGCAGGAGAGGGAGGAATGAGACATACAGGATAACATAAACAAGAATTTAGATGCTATAGACTGCCCTAAAACATGCAACCAAAAAACAGTACTGTTCGAGATTTGAAGCCAACTAAAATTTCAAGTAAGCAAAACCTTGGGGGTCCCAGTTGTTCCGCTTGTATAGCATATGGTTGCAACATCATCGGGTTTCGGTGGAAGAAACGGCTGAGGATTACTGCGACCCTGAAACAAATTTGTGTGGTAAAAAAACTATGAAACCGACATGTACCACAACTGCAGGACACGTGATGCTATCATTGAGAAAGATAGATGGTAACTATAACACCTCAATGAGAAGACTATGATGAGATATGTAGGTGTGGATGTACACTTGTGCATATATAAGTATATAACTACTATCTGTCCAGTGTTGTATAAATGTTGATGGAACACGGATTCTAAAGAATCAGAACATGATTCATAATAGCACTGGTAGAAATTTGCAAACTCTTAGTTGATAGAATGTTCCTAATCTTGCTTAACTTCAGAGGACAGATATTGCACTACAGTTTCCAGAGCAGATAAGAGAGAAGAGTGTACAAGTACCTGATTCAGTAACACCGAATATGATACAACTTTCACTCCTTCGGATGGGGGAAGCGAAGGCAAAGATTCATTCAACCCTCCAACAACCTACTTGGTACATGAGAAGTTCGAGAAATTGAAAGCTGTAGTCAAAATACTCAAAGCGTAATGAATAACAAAAACATTTGAAATTCTTTTTCATACCACCACTAGGCGTACACTTGGCATCTCCGACAAGCAGCTAAGTAACTGCAAGCTCCAGCGATAACCCAACCATGGAAGCAAGCAAAGAGACATCAGAAAAACGATCATTTATCTATAGTAAGCGCTCTTAAAGTAAAACACTCAGCAACATACAGAGCATTTAAGCTAGGGGTAAAAGGTCCTTTTTTTCCCACTATCATCCCGGTAAGCTTTTAAAATTAGAACGAAATTGAGGCAGCAGATTGATGAACTTACAGAGTTTAAAGTCTCTGCCACACAAAATATGGCTTGCACAGTTGCATGATTGACAATAAATTTTACAGCATCAGGGCCTTCAGCAAAAACATTTACTAGTAATTAGAACATCCCTAAGAAACGTGCAATGGAAATACAACACCGTAACCAGGAATACTTACCAAGAGTATCATACAAAGGAACAGAGACATACGAATAAGAAGAGCAAGCATGATCAACAATGAGCCACTCTGGGCGATTGATAAAGTAAATCCCAACAGAAGATCCCTAATAGAAGAAAAACAGTGACTTTGCGTCAGCTGAAACTTCGAGCTGGAAGGAGAGTCAAAATCAAATCATTTACCATGGGGATTCCGTGATGAACTAAACCAGAACCTAGAGCAGTTCTTGCTGTACCAGCTTCTCCATATGTCATCCATTTGTAGCTAAAAAGAAGAGTTAACAAGATTCACGTAAGAAATAGCTTCAAAGAAACTACAGTTGCAGTACGTAATTAGCAAGTTAGCAGCTCACTCTCCAACTGTTCCGTCCACGCGAACGCGAGTTCCTAAATATTTGTAATCCCGGAAATCATGAACAGCATGCCTACATGTTTCCGAGAACAGTTGTAATTGACTAAAATTGATAAAGAAGATGAAGAAGAAGATGAAAAAGTTTCATACTCAAAGTTGTCATGGAGAGTGGCGATGTCAGGATGATCTGGGAATCTGCTAACGAGCTTGAACGGAGATCGAGCAGATCTGACAAATTTTGAAATCAAAAAGAACAAAAAATTGAGAGAGAAAGAGATGAAGATCAAAAGGAAGGAAGAGAAACAGAGAAGAGAACCTGTAGACATTCCAATTGCCAGTATTCAGTTTTTCGGGAAGCACAACACTAAAGCCATTATCTGATTGCGATCGGAAATTCAGAAACAAGGAATCAGAAGCGGAAGCTACTACTACTAACTACTACGACATCAGAGAGAGATGAGAAGAAAAAGATGAATACCGACCAAGACAGAATTCGCCGGCGGTAGGATTGGAGCGGAGGAGAGGGGAAGAGCGAGAAGACGTGACGAGATGGGAGTGGATGGCGTTGATGCGGCGGCGTGCGGCGGAGGAAGAATCCATTTTTCCGATTCGGAATCTCAGAGAGGAGAATGATCCGAAGATTATGACTATGATAAGGGGCACACCTTTCTACTTTCTAACTCTCTCTCTCTCTCTCTGCTGATGTCACTATCCGTTTGATTTCGTGAATCATACAAACTTCTAAATTAACTGAGGAAAATACAAAAGTAACAAACACTAGGAGATATTCTTTAAATATTTCTTACCTCTTATATTTCTAACCAATCACAATATTTATCAACTAAATTTTTTTTTTGGGATAAATTTATCAACTTAATTAAAATACAAATTTAAGATTCATAAATACATTTATTAAAGTTAAGATTTTAATAACAAAAGATTTATTAAAGAATAATAAATTATCAATTTTTACAAGATTATGTCAGTAGAATTGTTGTCATGTTTTGTGTGTTGTGTGTTGTCTGTTCTGTGTAGAAGTAGAACTGTGTTAGTCATGATCCGATTAGTAAGATTGAAGACATCCGACTAGCAAGTATAGAGAAACATTTAGTGATGAACGTTTTTTTATTTTTTCACGTATTCATATTTAGTTATTCAGAATACTCAAAAAACTTTCACTTTTCTTCAGAAATCATTATGCAAAAATATAACAAAATGTCACGTATTTGATCATTTTGCTATTTCGTTATTCATCTTACAAAGTGTCAAGCTTTCTGTATTTTTTTTTTCTTCCAAGTGTAGTTTTCCATTTCCAGATCAGGTAAAATATCAATAAAAAAGGAAGTAAATATATGAACTTTTTTTTCTTTTAATCATCACTTCAAAAATAGATGAAAACAAACAGCCAAGGAACTGCTGTGGATGCAGGATACACATTAACCAAACATCAAGACTGAAATTTCAAAATAGAACTGAAATTGAAAAGAAAAAAAAAGACCAAGCATACAATCTTAAACAATCATGATACGAATTCTAGGATTAATCTGCCCTTTTAAGCCTATGTTTTAACCTGAAAAGAAAAAAACTCCAACAATCTTACAACTTAGCGTCAAGCTCACACACTTGCCTCTCTATCGCCATCGTAGGAAAGCTAAGTTCGAGTTTGCAATGCGAAACTGTCTTCACATGCACCTTAAAGATTCCCAACACTGTAATGATCCCAGGCATATTCGCCTTGGTCTCTATCACAATTTTCCTTTGCAATATATCTTGAATAACATCACCCAAATCCGCAACAAATTTATCGATCTGAAGAACAAGAGGACATAGCAAGATCACCGAGCCTTTGGCAGGGAGTGAGCTCGAAGGAAGAGTGAGATTTCCCACTAGCCTATCCCTGTAGAAGACCGAGTTTTCCACCGTCTTGTATGCGAAGTCGGCAACGTTAGGGTTCTTGACCAGCATCTGGAGCGTGAGAGTGAAGTTTAGCTGGACGTCTAATGGTGGTGATACATGTGTGGACACGCCATCGACAGTCGAAGACAAGGTTTGTAGGATCGGATATTTTGGTTTGAACACGGTTTGCGAGAGGATCAAAACGGTGATGAAGATGATGAAGAGGATGGAAATGATTCCGGTAACTATGTAGCAAATGCGTCGTTTGTTCATGGCTTATTGTATTGTGTGTATGGGATATGGATCTTGTTGTATATATGTAAGATGTTTTTGTTTTTCTTGGTGTTAAGACAAATGTACTAGAGATTAGAGAGCTTAAAAGCGATTTTTTTGTTTGGTTGCATATAGAAGGATGGATTAAATTTTGAAATGAATGAATACATTGTGCTGTCATAACGGATTACAACCTGTAATATTCATTTTATGGCAGTAATTAAGCGGAGTTTTTTTTGTTGACGTCGTTTGATTATCGTTAAGTGCAACTAAATGAATTAGTGGCAGATTTTATTTCCTTACCTTCTTTTTTCTTTCCTTTGAAACAAAACTAACCACCTGTGATTTGACTCATTTATTTGTAAAGATTTCTTGCTTTTATCCTATCAGTTATTTGTATGAGATCCAAAAGAGTAAACATGATAATTTTGGGTTCAAATGGTAACAAATATTATATAGTTGGTGAAAATGTCTATCTGTGATTGATGATACTGGAAATAAATAAATAAAAATCCAACCAGTATCAATTCTTACTAGCTTTACGGATTTTCTTAACCAAGAAACTTTATCTATTAATTGGTGAATCTTTTTAAATTTATATTGTGGCCTTTTCTGTAAAAAAATAAACGATATCATCAACTACAACCGTTTCGAAATGAATGAAAATGTTCATATGTTTTTTTTTTCTAGTACATAAATGTTTTAAAACTATTAAAGACACATTTTGGTATCTAATGTGGCAGTTTCTATACATTATAGTAGGGGGGTTATTAATTAGGAGTAGAATTTGTGTTAATTGTTAAAATTTTCAAAATTCATTGTTATTAATTAATGGATTTTGACATTCTTATCCATTGTTATTGTTTGATGACTTTAAAATCCATACAAAATATACTGTTATTCAAAAAGTTTATAAGTTTAATAATTCTATGAATTCATTAAATAATTGTTATTGGGAGATGGATTTTAAACAAATTAACTCATGAAACAAAACTTTCAAAATACTACCTATAACCCTTAGATTCTCAAACTCCATTACAATAAAATATTTTGATTGATTTTCTAAATTTACATACTCTTTCCAAATCTAACAAAAACTCTTTTAATTTTTAAAATCTTTAAAATCCACACAAATTCTATTCCCAATACCCCCTAGTTTTTTTCTCTTTTCTTGAACTGAATGTAAAATATAGTTCACTGTTTTTTTTTGTAAAATACATCTATATCAAAACATTTGCTCTTATCTGCAATTGTTTGTTTTAGTAGTTTTTTCTTTATTTTTTCGTTTTCGGGAAAGTTTCATAATTCCATATTTGTAAGGAATGGAAAGATTAAATCTACGTCACTTTCTGCCCATTGGGCCCAGTAATTGATCACTAAAGGCCCATCCCATCTTCAACATTAGACTGTGTGTTTCAAATTTCAATGCATGTAAACATCACTTTCAATGCACGCAAACTACACTAATTCACGAAAATTAACTAAAATTATGGAATATCAAAAGGAAAATAAGTGAACAGATCGATCTTTTTCTTTTGCTAAAAAGACAGATCGATGTAATTAACACACTTCGGTGAACGAACGCAGACGTCAGAAAAAAGAAAAGCCTTTGGAGTTAACAACAATAAAATAAGCAGACTAAAATACCTAGAATCAAAACGTTGACAAATAAGAAAGAAAACAAATATAGAACCAAGAACGAGTGGTCCAACACCAAGAAACCCGCAGCTCAACGTGCTTCCAAGTAATTACTTGGATTTATTTATTTATTATCATTACTATTTCAGTATATATAACCCCATCTAGATTATAATTGTCTGTTTGTCTCTCCATACACAGATGACAATGGTTTGCTTATTGCTTATTAGTGTTTTTGTTTTTTAATGCTTATTGGTGTTGTATATTATGAACTTATGATAGTATACTTTGTGGACGAAATAAACACTCATCAATAAGAGAAAAGCTAACCTAATTCTCTTTGGAAAATATATATGCAAATTAAAAACTGTCTGCTGGTACTTTACAAATCCGCATAAGCTATATATACAAAAGTCATGCGAGGATTTGGAGATAAAATATGTATTTAAAAAAATAAACGATTCATGAAAGAATTATATTTGGATTCTCCCATCTGTCAACCAAACAAGTTGTATTTCAAGCTTTCATTAAATTTATTAATTTGGATCATATAACTTAGATTCAGTGACATGAACGTCATGCAGCAATATCACATTGGTTCAAATACGTGGTTTTTTGTTTTTGTTGAAAAGGCCTTCAAATACGTGGTCTTGAATGGAGATATTGTAAAATTTATGATTTGCTCGTATATCTATTAGTTCAATAGAAGTTCCAATCTCAAAGTAAAAACTTATAAACCCTCAACAAGAAAGACTCCGTCGTTCAAATCTTATGATTTAAAGATGAGTATCTTATATAGAGAAATATTATTTTGTTTAAACGAACTTAAAAAAAAAACATTATATATTCACTATTTTCTTTTCTCCGACGGCATCATTTGCTTTATTTTCCACCCATTATTACATTGATAAGTTACTATCATATTTAAACTTATTTAATTTGTTCATATATGATTTTTTTTTGTAGTTAGATGATCCGTCTGCATCATTTCCTCTGTTTACATTGATAAGTCATCTCCGAGTTTTATTTGTACGTAGTAACACATTTTACATTTTTTGAAGCAATAGTATTTGTTTTCGTTTCTTCTTTAATTGGATCGTGTAAAGAATTCACAAGATTTAAGAAACCAATATAAACGAACACTATGTACATACATTTAGCAAAAAAACAACATGATGTACTATTAGATTTCGAACAAAAAATATAACGGAACTATATGTCATATGTGTGTATTACTTTGCTATTAATCACATGCAACGACGCGAGGGTCATGTGCCGACATGTGTTAACTGTTCATTACTCTCTTTCATGCACTACCTCCTTAATTCTCAACTCCCCTTTGACTGATCCATCCTTTTCTCTATCAGAAAACTGTAAGTTTTTAAAAATTTAAAATTTAATCTCGATCGATGCAAGATTCGAATTATAAAATTGTACTACATGTACAGTTGCATTGCATGGCTCGTATTTATTCTTAATCTCCAATTGTCTTAAAACCACAACTCTAATTACATGTCTGTATTTTGTCTGCTTGTGTCTCCCACCAACGTATCCATGTGATCGTCTTCTTCATTAAGTACTATTCTAAACTTAATTTAACTATAATCACAATTATCATCAACTCACTCTGTTTCTCCTTTTAAGACCCTCTCTTTCCTTTTCATTTATTTATTATCTCCCATCATCCATTGCTCTCACAAAGTCCACCACTAGCTCGAACTCTCCTCTCAATCTTTCAGAATCAACCAGTCACACGTCTATAGCACGATTTGCTCACAAATTCTTGACTTCCACCGAAGTTTATAAGCAGAGAGAGAGAGAGAGATCACTTGCTCGAATTGATCAAGAGAGAGAGAGAGAGTAGAAGATATGGTTACAGAGACGGAATCGCCACCGTTGATTGGACCTCGTATTTCCTTCTCAGCTGATTTATCCGACGGTGGAGATTTCATCTGCATCAGCGGTCCCGTACTGTGCAAGGAACTAGAGAAGGATGCCGTAAAAGGGTCAGTGAAAGTCGCCGACTTTGAGTTCTTGTCTGAAAATGTGAGTCCACAGAGGATGCTTAGCGCCGACGAACTCTTCTCCGAAGGAAAGTTGCTTCCTTTCTGGCAAGTAAAGCACTCGGAGAAGCTTAAAAACGTAACCTTGAAGACGAAAGAAGAAGAAGGAGATGAAGAGAATCGTAAAGTGGAAGTGACGATGAAGAATAAAGATCAGGAGATTAACAGAGTGAGTTGGTTTATAGACGAAGATCCATCTCCTCGTCCTCCGAAATGCACAGTGCTTTGGAAAGAGCTATTGCGGTTGAAGAAACAGAGGAACTCGTCTTCTTCGTCGTCGGTGAGGACTGTGTCGTCGCTGTCTCCGTCGTCTTCTACGTCATCATCGAGCTCGCTTGAGGATGCGGCGGCGAAGAGAGAGGAGAGAGAAAAAGAAGGGAAGAGAGGTAAGAAAGGATTAGAGAGGACGAGATCGGCGAGTATGAGGATAAGGCCGATGATTCATGTCCCTATTTGCACTCCTTCTAAATCCTCTGTTCCGTTTCCTCCTCTGTTTCCGATTTCACTCAAGAAAAACAGAGTAGAGAGACGCACTTAAGAGGTTCGATTTCATCTTTCGGATGAAACAATTGTTGGTTGGTTTGTTCGAGTTCTCGAGTAGATTCTCATGCGATCTGTAACTCGTGATGCATGTGATGTGAGTAAGCGTTATATCAGATGTACTTTGTGTTTTGTTGTGCTTTATGGTTTGGTTTGAGATCTAATGTGTGTTGACAAGTGTTAAGAAACTCGAGTTCCTCTGTTCTTCATCTCCATTTCTTTTTCTGGATCCAAACGTATGTAGTTCCTCTGTTTAGATTTGATGTACGTTGAGATGTGAAATGTGCGAGACAAAGAGTAAATGTCAAAAACAAGAACGATGACCAGAAAATAGAAAGGCAGAGCAATCTGTTTGTTAGTTAATGATGAGAAAGTGAATGATGAAAGACTGATGGGCACATGCAAGATTCAGATGTTTTCTATAATTCTATCTAATATTTACTTTTCTCTGCACCAATTGTTTCTGCTTCACCATTTTGGAACTGGGCTCCACTTTCACAGACTAGAGAGCTCTCGTTATTCAAATTTCATTTTGTATTTTCCTGACCTCTTATTTGGCATACTGATTGATATTTTGTTCAACAAATATCTAACTCCAGGTGAATATATAAACTCCATTAATCACAAGATTCATAATACAACGATGACGTATACTTTTTCATGACACACAGAATGAAACAACACAACACAAAGGCAATCAGTATTCTCTTATCTCTCTCCCCAACCCCAAAAGTGTTAAAAAAGAATGAACCATTATAAGATATGTTAAGTAAATTGTACACGCGAGGCTTCTAATTTACACACAAGCTTCTACAAAACTATAACACAAGACTCAATTCATTCTTGTCTTCTTCTTAAAAATGCCCGTATCAACTTGGCGGTTGAGTCAAAAAGGGATTACCAGAAGTCCTGAAGTATAAAGAATCATAGAGTATTTGTATTAGCCAAGAAACTACTGAGAACTCTATGGTGAAAATCGCTTTGTTGCTTACCTTAGATCAAGTCCTTGCTTTTGAAGAAGATTGTTTGGAATTTGGCCTGTTAGGTTATTGTTTTGCAAGAACCTAATTATCCATAAAAACATGCATACATTAGTCAGAAATTCATGTTCATGATGTATAAGAAGACATGTATGCATACAGAGAGAGAGGAGACATGGTTACAGTTATGCTGTTTCAGTGCAAGATGTAAACAGTTTACTATTCCCTTTGAATCTTTAAAAGGTAAAGCTAAAAGACAAAAGGACTGATGCCAAAACAAAAAAGGGCTAATGGTTGTTTGGTAAGGTATAATGTCTTTTCCATCCACAAGGCAAGAATCTTGAGCAGAAGAAGCAGACAATCATGCAACTTATTCTAGAGAAGCATTCAAACCAATAATCAAAGGACAGTAAAATGGTAAATATGAAGAATGGAAACTTACAGTTCTCTCAAGTGCGGCACTCCACCGAAAAATGTAGGAATATTTCCACTGAAACTGTTATCTTCCAAATGCCTTGTACATAGGGAAAGAAAAAAAAGATGAGATTAGATTATGAGTCTCTGTTTAATTGCAGCTTATCGTCATTGAATGGTTCAAATGTGTAGCACAAGTAGTGAAATATCTACTTACACTGATTCCAGATATTTGAGTGAACTCAAGTCAGGTATACTTCCCGAGAGTGAATTGTTTCCCAGCCAACTGTTCAAAACACACGAAAAATCATCTGTTATTCTTGACAGTTGACACTCATGCATTGAACTAAGTGTTCACTTGTCAAGAAGGTACTTACATGGAGGATAATGCTGTTAATTTGGAAACTTCAGGTGCTAGCGAGCCTGAGAGTCCCATACTAGTCAAGTTCCTGGGAACAACAATGGATTAAAAAACTCTCAGTAAATCTCTAACTGATGCATCAAAAGACACAATTTTGGCACAAAGTTCCAACTCACAAAGCGATTACACGAATTCTGGGACCTTCAGTGCAAGTTACTCCAGACCACGAGTAATTTTGAGGCATACAAGGATCTCCATTCCAATCAACTGGTGCGTTCTGGAAACTGCTTTTAATTGCATTCAGAGCAGTTACTGCAGAAGCAAGAAGAACAATTCAACATGTTAAACAAATGGTATCAGCAGCAGTCAAAAACTACCAGAATTGTTGCTTTCAGTCATACCATCTCGAACAAGAGTTCTCCCTCCAAGAGATATCAACTCAAACATTTCACCACCATTGATAAGAGGAGCAAGGCTTGAACCACTCCTAGGACTCAGAGTCAACGTTGTGAGACCTTCAAGAGGCCACTTACTCGCAAAGATAACCGCACCAGCTGGAGTGACGGACAGCTCTTTATAATATGTGATTCCATTCACAGAGACATCGAAGACTCTTGACCCATCTCCCAACGAGTCAGAATCATGCGCAAAATACAACGCAATGTAGTAAACGGAGTTTTTCAAGGGCATTGGTGGCCATGTGAACTCCAGAGGCTGAACCTGAGCAGCTCTTAGATCCGTGTTGAATATCCTCGATGGCGGTAGGTTCCAGAAACCAGAAACCTCTAGTTTCCGGTTGTTTGGTACCGTCGAGTTTAGTGAATACGGCTCCCAAAACCTATCAAACTCATCATCTGGAAACCTGAAAGCCAACACAGAATGTTGATAAGCAAATGGTGAAATATGTCAAAGGATAATCAAAAGCTTACCTGATGATTGGTCCGCTGTATCCAAACGCATGCCTAGCAACAAGGCTAAGGCCGGAAATGGTGAAGTCGGTGGAATTGTAAAGAGTACCATCTAGCCTGATGACCTCCAAGGCTGAGATAAAGGGATCGGAAGTGGTGTACGAGTTGGTGGCAATGCAGACGCTGATTGATTTTCCCTGAGCGAGAAAAACCCCTTCGTAGTAAGAGGCGAGGCCGTCGGCGTAATCGGCGGTGGTGTTGACGACGCCCCAGAAGGTGCCGTCGACAATCTGATCGAATACCGGCGGCGGAGTGGCTTTCCCGTTAACTCCTCCGTAGTAGTAGGTCGTCCTGATCATGTACTTCCAGCCGCGGGAGACGCTCATCACGTAGCAAAACTTGTGACGAGTGCCGCCGTCGAGGCTAAGCGGGAAGGATCTGACGGTGAGTAATATCTCGTCGAGGACTTGATCGGAGACGTTCTTCGGTGTTCCGCTGGAGATTAGGTTCTCGTCGGATATCCATCTCCGGTCGCCGATAGTCGAGGAGGAAGAAGCGCCGCAGTCGATCAGAATCGCTAAATTGGAAATCGGAAAAATTAGGAATCGGGAATCGGAAACCGAATCACGAAATACGAATACGCAATGGAGAGAGATTGTGTCCGTACCTGAGGGAGTATATGGCTGAGAGATAGAGGAAGAGATGAGAGATACCACGGCTAGGAGGATGAGGCGGAGATGGTACATGGCGGCGGAGACGGTGGTTAAGATGCAGTTAGCATAAAAGAGAGAGAGAGACAGAGAAAAGGGGTTTTAGGTTGGAAGAAGGAGGGGGTTGACCCTCCAGCTCCAGAGATGAAGAATCAGAAAAAGCAGAGAATTAGAGGAACAGGTCAGAGACGAAGGAGACGAAGTTGTTATTTGTATTCCGAATTTCGGCTTTTTTTGCCTCTTTCTTTTTTGTTTTCTTCAGAGAAATAATAATAATTATCTTTATTCCGTTATTTCTGTTGCGGTCTACTTGAGAAATTGGGAATTAAACCGGCGGTTAAGACAATTTATCCCGGTCCGACAGGCTTAACGTTTACTTTCTATCAATTTTCTGATTTATAAATTTCATCAAAACACTACTTAAGTGATTTGTTCTATATTTTCTTGCACTTTTTTTGTTGAAGAATTTACGTTTCCTCACTTTTCTTTGCTTCTCTTCAATGCAATTTCACTAAAGTTTTGGATGCAAAGCGTGCTCATGCCTCCTAAGATTTCATTTCATGTGCTAGCATTAATAAAATAGATTACTATATGGTATCTCTTTGCGTTGTTTTTCAAAGCTCACACACGTCTACTTTGTGGCCGACCACAACGGTCCAAGAAGTCTTTAAAATAGTATTTATTTAGTGAAACATCGTTAAATTAATAGAAACCCACTAAAATGAAACAAAATGTTATTAGGATAAGCGGATTTCTAGAAGGATAGTGAATGTTTAGACAAGGATACTTTAAAAGAATAAACTAACTTTGATGAGTCCAAAAACGAGTCTTCACAAAAGGAGTTTTGATTCTAAGAAAATTGTAAGGCATTTTACATATACCATAAATCCATAATACAGCTAACTGAAACTAAAGACATTTTTGAAACTGAAAACACTTTTTTGATAAGTTCTTTTCATATGTCAAGTGTAACATGTTCCATTAAACCACAATAAAAGTTCAACAGGTTTACACAGATATCTTTAGTTCATCATACATTAAAAACGAAATTTTAAACATCAACTTCAAACAAACAAAACTTAAAGGCACTATCACAAACCACCAAGTCGTTCACAGTCAATGGGCTCAAGGAGTTAAAGGCCTTTTAACAAAAGAAAACGTTGAATTTAATTTTATTAATTAATGGGAAATAGAGAAAAACAAATTAAACGTAACGTTTTTTCTCTCTTCGCACGCAGATCCCAAAAATACCACTGATATCTGTCTCTGCTGACTGCTTGTATTTGAAAATTTGAAATCGCTGCTTCCTTGTGTGAGTGATGGAGCAACAACCGGAAAATGTAGACGACGGGAGCTTCCTGGAGCGTAAGGGACAAAACAGAAAAGTGAGAGAAGGAGACGACCGAGAGACCTCCGCCGTGGCCGCCGGCGGAGGTCACGCGCTCCTCAAAATGATCGCCGCTCAAGTCGAAACACTGAATTCCACTTTCTCCTGGAAAGAATCCGATCGCCTAGTCGCAAAACGCGCCGCTGTAATTCTGGCTGAGATCGCTAAAAACGGTGAATCATCATCCTCGATTGTAACTAATTTACTTCCATCCATCAGTTTCTCACTCAATTTTACGCATAGTTAATCGAGTGAATCTATGGAATTCAATGCATCAGAGGATTTCGTGGACGCGATTGTCGAAGAAGGAGCTGTTCCAGTTCTCGTTAAGCATCTACAGGCTCCGCCGTACAGCGATGGGGATGAAGCTCAAAAGTCGTTCGAACACGAGGTCGAGAAGGGAAGCGCGTTCGCTCTTGGTTATCTCGCAATCAAGGTTTTGATTCATACTCTCCACTCGTGCTGCTGCTTGTTGGATTCTAATTGCCTTGTTCTAGTTTGTGTGATATTTCGTTTTGGAATTTGAATGGTTGTAGCCAGAGCACCAGAAGCTGATAGTAGACAATGGTGCATTGCCCCATCTTGTGAATCTATTGAAGAGAAACAAAGATGGGCATAGTTCTCGATCTGTGATCAGAAGAGCTGCTGATGCCATTATCAGTCTTGCTCATGAGAATAACAATATCAAGTCCCTTGTAAGGTCAGCATATTTTGAGCTGTTTTCCTGCTTTCAATTTTTGGCATTTTTGTAGAAGAACCACTCACATGACTGCCAGTTCTTGGATGAACAGGTTAGAAGGTGGTATTCCAGTACTTGTGGAGTTGCTTGAATTTGATGATCCAAAAGTTCAGCGATCAGCAGCAGGGGCATTGAGGACCCTTGCGTTTAGAAATGATGATAACAAGAACCAAGTAAATGTTTTGATAGTTTGATAACTACAGATTTTTACTTGATTTTGGATGGAGGATGATCACAAGTCGTTTCTTGCAGATAATTGACTGTAATGCTCTTCCAACGCTCATTCTAATGCTAGGATCAGAGGACGCTGCGATACATTACGAAGCGGTAATATTCCTCTGGCATATTTTATCAAATTATTTTGGTAGTTGATGTACTATGTGGAATTGGCATCAACTTAACCAGTTCTCGGTTGAAGTTTCAGGTTGGCGTAATTGGTAATCTAGTACATTCGTCTGTAAACATGAAAAAGAAGGTTCTTGATGCTGGTGCCTTGCAGCCTGTCATTGGTCTTCTCAGGTATGTGAAAACTTGCCATTTTGATCTACAAGATCAAGCATAGGGTGGTTGGTTTCAACAAAGTTGTAATTTATGTAATTCGTACTTGCTTATCTACCTGTTACTAATGCTTTTCTTTTGTTAATCTGCTATTGTGCTTCAATACTGTTATCCTTACATTCATTTGGTTCTTGATAGCCTTATTTTTTTCCTTAGTTCTTGTTGCTCCGAGAGCCAAAGAGAGGCAGCTTTGTTACTTGGACAGTTTGCTTCTGCTGATTCTGATTGCAAGGTGCCATTTCGATCGCTTGTTTTATATTCCCATTTCTTTAATCCTTGGATTTGTTTTAGTCGTGGTCTGGTCTAAAGTGATATGAAAGCTATTAATATGGCATTCTGTCCACGTTGCGGGGATAAGTTGTTTGCTTCTGTTGATCTGTGGAGAAATATACATTCCCAATGCCACTTAGCCAATCCTTTCCCCATGATTTATATATATGATGCCTAAAGTGATAACTTTGCAGGCACACATAGTGCAAAGGGGGGCTGTCTGTCCTTTGATCGAGATGCTTCAGTCACCTGAAGTTAAGGTGAAGGAAATGTCAGCCTTTGCGTTAGGGAGACTTGCACAGGTTATTATCTTCTTGAATACTTCTGCTATTGCTGGATATGTTTGCTTTCAAACTTACAGATGCCAAGGATTCTGGTTGCCATTGTCTGGAAAATGGTGTTTAAGCATTACTGAATATAAAAACCGAAACGACATTTATTTCAAAACATCTTTTCCTGCAGGATTATCACAATCAAGCTGGCATTGCCCATAGGGGTGGTTTAGAACCTTTATTGAAGCTTCTTGATTCAAAAAATAGATCTCTGCAACACAATGCTGCGTTTGCTCTTTATGGTCTTGCTGATAATGAGGTACGCTGTATGTTACCCCTCTGCATGTTTTCTTTATCTTGATTCATGGACTCGTTAGATAGCTTTATTGATCCACCTTGTCCCTTTAGGATAATGTGTCCGATTTTATCAGGGTGGGAGGCGTCCAGAAGCTTCAAGATGGAAAGTTTATTGTTCAAGTATGTTAAACCTCGTTACCTTTCTGCTACCTCCTGATGCTACTTTCCACAAGCACATCCTCACACATGAATTCGATTTACCTAGGACCTGTCTCTTTGATGTTTCTATTTTTTCGCTTTTCTTGTAGGCAACTAAAGATTGTGTTTCAAAAACATTGAAAAGATTGGAGGAGAAGATTCACGGAAGAGTGAGTGAAAATTATCTTGGTTTTGAATGTTTTTTGGACTTCCTGGTGCTAAATTACAGATTCCGCTATATTTAGCAACTTGCTGTAACCTGTTGTAATTTCTAAATCTCTTTTAGAGATAAAAGAATCTGTATTCAACCTTTGACATCTCTTCATATCTTCGGTTTTCTGTAGGTTTTAAGTCATCTGTTGTACCTTATGCGTGTTTCGGACAAGCCTATCCAAGAACAAGTTGCTCTTGCTCTCGCCCTTCTCTGTTCCCCAGAGGATCAGCGGACCGTATTCGTTGATGGAAATGGCATGTGGCAACTTTTTCTGAATTTTCTTTTGCTAACAAGTAGTGTGTGTTTCGGAATCTTCTATCAGATTTAAATCCTTTTGGTGCATGAAGGTTTATATTCGAGATATCGTTTCTTACAGGATTGGAGTTGCTTCTTGGCCTTCTTGGTTCTACAGACACTAAGCAGAGACTTGATGGTGCTGTGGCCTTATACAAATTAGCAATTAAATCTATGGCGCCTTCTCCTGTCGATACTGCTCCTCCATCTCCAACACAAATAGTGAGTTTCTTTCCTTACGTCAGTTCTCCAATATTCTCTCTAAAACAGGTGAAGTCTCAAAGCAATAATTTGTGTTCTTGGTCTCAGATATATCTTGGAGAGCAATATGTAAATAATGCTACGCTCTCTGACGTAACCTTTATAGTTGAAGGTAATAATTCAATTCGGTAGTTGTAGCAGTCTTGCTAGCTCAAAAACCGTTAGGTAAAATGTGGAAAAATATATACCGCAGGCAGGACATTTTATGCTCACAGAATTTGTCTGCTGGCATCTTCCGATGCATTTCGCGCAATGTTTGATGGAGGTTACCGAGTAAGTGAGCTTCTATAGTTAAGCATAAAATTGGCTTTGTGTTGTGCTAATGAAAGGATCAGTCTCACTTCTTTCAGTTATAAGTTTTTGTCTCGCATGACTTTTAAAACAATCTGATACTGAACTTCTCTTACTTAGCTAGTGATTTTCTGTTATGCTGACCTACTTTCTGTCATAGGAACTTGGGATAAATCTGCATTTTTGTGAAAATTGGAGTTATAATCTCTCATTTAAGGCTGTGTTAATTTATTACCGCAGGAAAAAGATGCAAGAGATATCGAGATTCCAAATATTCAATGGGAAGTTTTTGAGTTAATGATGAGGTATGTATGATTGCAGCTTGTCTAAAGCTTCTAGTCTTTAAGAATACTTCGTGCTTTGACTTGAATCATGTGTGGATAACAATGTCAGGTACAAATACACTGGTTCAGTCAACATACCAACAAGAGAGATTGCACAAGATGTTCTAAGAGCAGCGGATCAGTATCTCTTGGATGGGCTCAAGCGACTCTGTGAATACGTCATTTGTCAGGTCAGCATAAACTCACATGTGTGGATAACAATGTCAGGTACATATAAAAGGTCGCATATGACTTATATAAAGCTAACACTGCAATCTTCGAATGAAAAGGATATAACGGTGGAAAACGTAGGGAGCATGTACGATATTTCAGAAGCATTCAACGCCATGTCGCTGAGGCAAACTTGTATCTTATTCATCCTGGAACACTTTGAGAACCTGAGTTTGAAACCCGAGTAATAAAAATCTCACTCTCTCAGTATCTTCCCCTATTTAATATTATCATGGAAAATCACCTAGAGTTTAGCATTATGAAGGATCAAGATCTAAGGTTCAACTTATGTTCTAGGCTTATAGAAGATCATATCATAGACTTTCAAATTAACTCTGTTTCTTTCTCATGTTTGTTCATTCCCGGAAAAATGCAGGACGAACCAACTGGTGCAGCGAACAATCCCAGAGATACGCAGTTACTTTTGTAGAGTCCTCACCAAGTCCGACTAATTTGTTAAGTTGTGAAGACAGAAGAAAGAAAGCAGTCGTTAGCAGAGAAGTAGATGCAGAGTTAGTTCTTCAACTTAATTAAGGCTCTGTTTATAAGTTAGTAATAATAATCATCAACAATATTCCAATACTCGTCTTAAGCTCTCTTTATCAACAGACCACATGCATACATTAAGCTTGGCAAGTGTAAATTTTTGAGTGGCTAAAAAATGAATTGGTCTCATGGTTCTTTTGAACAAAATGCTACATTGTTTTTTTTTGTTCTCAAATGAAAAAGGTTTTCAATCCCGAATCTAGAATCCTTCTACATTAACAAACATGACTAGTAATACACAATAAATAAAACTAAACTTGACCAGAGACCAAATTGAAAATATGTATTACATGTTAGACTGGCATACGTTACATTGGCAGGAAGGACATCTAAACACCTCTAAATAATACAGACACGTACAAGAAGAGACCAAACTCAACTCAGATCCCACCTCGTCTTTCTCAGTTTCTTCTACTTCCATTGGAGCTTTGAGCTCTAGAGTCAGAGGAAGAACAGGTAAACGAGTACTTCGACCTTTTCTTCTTGTGAGTATTCCACTTGAATATTGGCTTTTCTTCATTCTCTTCTTCACCTTCTTCTTCCTCTTCTTCTTCTTCTTCATACTTCTCTACCCTCTGTTTCCCACTCATCTCCTTTGGCCTTTCCTCTTCCTCTTCTTCCTCCTCCTCGCTTGTCCCATCACTCACCGTTGGGATAGGTTCAATCGCTTTTCTACTTGTTGGTGTCTTTGTGTTGCTTGAGGACTCCTCTCTTCTATATCTCCTAGAGAGTTTTGACAGGTCTTCACCACTCTCCACAGCTTTCATCCACTGTAACTCGCTTAGTGTGTCGCTATAAACGATTTCTTTACGTTTCCGCTTACCTGTCACACTCCCGAAATGGTGTTTTGAGCTGTTTAACTTGTCATCTTGGGTCTGTGTAGTGTATGCCCACTCAGGGACTTCCTGCTCTTGCATCAGACGGGCTCTGTAGTTCTCCTTCCTTCGTCTCTCCTCATCCATTCGCTCAAACATCCAAAACTCATCCTCAGAACGAGCCGCGAGCCGGTTTATCTCTCTCTCACTGGGAACATCATTCCCAAGTGAGCTTGTTCCTTTGCGCATGATCTCTTCAAGCATCTCTCTTCTGTCTTGTGCTGTTGATATAACCACAAAACCCACATCACGAGATTAGCATTTTGATATACAAAAGCAAAAGCCATCATCACGTTGTAGGTTTCAGGACAAACTTACCAGTGGAAGTCGTGTTGAAAAGTCCAGCTTGTATGACTTTGGCATCAATGCCCATCTTTTGCTTTGCACGCTCCAATATAACTTCTTCAATGGAGCCAACGCTGACTAAAACAAACACTCTGACTTCCTTCTTCTGCCCTATACGATGAGCTCGATCCTCGGCCTGTTGGTCCATCTGTGGGTTCCAATCACTGTCAAAGATGATAACAGTGTCTGCAGTTTGCAAGTTCAAACCGAGACCTCCTGCACGTGTGCTCAGAAGAAACATAAAGTAGGGAGAATCTGGCTCGTTGAATTGCTTTAGTAAAAGCCCTCTCTGATCTGTCTTTGTGGTACCATCGAGCCTGAGGTACTTGAAATCATTGAGCGTCAAATAAATCTCGAGAACGTCAATGAGACGGGTCATCTGGGAGAAGAGAAGAATTCTGTGCCCTGCCTTGCGCAGTTTTGGAAGGAGACGATCAAGGAGCTCGAATTTCCCTGAAGCTCTCACAATCTCAGGTTTCTTCCACATGTTGTAGTCTCCTCCAACGAATAGATACGGATGGTTACAACACTTTCTTAATTGCATCGTTAGATTTTGCAGACTCTTTGATTTACCAGATCCTGCACATTACGATTCATAACATCAGCTTTACTTTCTGATTGCAAAATCTTGGAGAGAGTAAAAGAGAGTTAAGCTACAACAAACCTGTTTGAAGGCCAACCCTGCCCATGTCTGTAACTTGTTTGTAATAAACTTTCTGCCACGCTGACATGTCACACTTGAGTATGACCTGTGTCTTCCCAGGAAGGAATTTCTCTACTTCGTCCTTTTTCCTTCTCAGTATAAACGGCCTTATAACCTGAAAGTGACAGGGAGAGTGAGTTAACACTGAAACAACATTCCATACAGAATTTGATAAGATTTTGAAGTAAACATAGCTGCAGAACCCACATGGTGCAGACGGTGGATAATCAGCAGCTCCTCTTCATCCGTAAGACTGACATTACCACGATCGGCAAAAGGAGCATTGAACCATTCCTCGAAGTTCTGAACCGAGTTGAAGATGTGAGGAAGGAGGAAATTAAGCAACGACCATAGTTCTTGAAGACTATTCTGTATGGGTGTCCCGGTTAACAGAAGTCTGCGTTTTATACGATAGCTGCATCCACCAGAACATTTTTGTTAAAAAAATATACTCAAATTCTATAAACATAACAGTCAGCTAAAACCATTCACTTGACGTACCCTGTTAGTAGAGTCTTTGCGAGAGCAGATTCGTGGTTCTTCAGCCTATGTCCTTCATCAACAATCATGTAATACCAATCAATCTTCTTCAAAAATGCTTTATCTCTCATGATGAGATCGTAGTGAGTTATCAGCACATTGAATTTTCCTTCTCCTGCAATCTTTTCCCTTATTGCTTTTCTTTCCTCTAAACGTCCATCATAAAGAAAAGCCGCAATGCTGTCAAATGAACAGAATGGACGAATTTCAGACAGAGATTCATACCGGTAATAGTCCCCAGCACGAAGAGAGAGAGAGAGAGACTGTTTGCAACATACCTTGGAACCCATGTAGCAAACTCGTTTACCCAATTTGGTAGCACAGCTTTTGGAGCCACTATCAGATAAGGCCCAGGCACATTTTTGTTCTCCAGAAGATACGCAATCAACGAGATTGTTTGGATAGTCTTCCCCAAACCCATCTCATCAGCTAAAATTCCATTGAGGTTATTGTTGAATAGAGAAACCATCCACTGGAGCCCTTCTAATTGGTAGGATCGTAGTTCCCCACCTTGTAGAAGGGAAGGCTGCTCCGACACCTGTTAAAAAGAAAGCAATATATTGTTACTTACATCCATTGGTCTCCATTAACCGTACTGTAACTAAAATGTACCATATGGATCAACATTACCTTCTCTTGAATTGAATGGATAGCAGAGTTATACTGCCTTTGTCCTTCAAGTAAATCATTAGAGTCGTCGTTATTGTCAGACTCAGCAATATCAAGATCCTGATCAGGAAGCAAATCCTGCAATTCACTTCTCGGAGCATCAAGTTCAGACAAGTCAGACTCCGAGTCTTTCAGTGGATCAATGCCTTCTGGAAGTTTAGCATCTTTCTGACGCTGAACAGCAGCTCCCAAATTAACAAGAAGTTTGTTAGTCTCCTCTAGAAGAGTGGTCAGTCTTTCATTCTTACTCTCCTTTACTAGCTTCATGTATGCCTCTTGATCATCGGATTTAAGGGCCATCAGCCTCAACTTTTCAGCACGTGTTGCACGTTGTCTTTGCCTCCCATGCCATGCCTGTTAAATGAAAAAAGATATCTTTAAAGAGTTTGTACATTGATAATATACAAAACTACCTTTATAAATAAATAAGTTGCTGATATCATACACTGATATGAACCATTGTTCACAGTAATAAAGATGATAGAAGATTTAGGCTAAGCTTAAGGTTATTTGCAATTGGAAGTTGGTTTCTTATTGGAGACCCTTGTATAGGTCTTTTGATACAACTTAATTATAAACCTAGAGCAAAAAGGAAAACACTCTGACTTAAAAAGGAAATTATGAAAATCTAATTAATAAAGTAAAACACCAAAACCCATTAATTAAAAACGCCATAACCATAGTCTCGTATCACACACATACCTGCACACCATCATTCCTTTGCCTACGGCGTTTTTGAGTCGCCTGAATTTGCAACTGGAACTCACGAACTGCATTGAGCACTTCTGCAAAGAATTTTCTCTTGGCGGTTTCAATCAGATTCTTCTCCTCTTCTTCTAAACGTAATAACCTCTGAAAAAAAGAAAGACTTTAAACACATCAGCGGTTCACTTCCTTAAAATCCATCTCTAGATAAGTTCCAAGAAAGCAAAATAGCTAGTTGAAGAAAAGGAAAATGACCTCGGCATCACGCTTCTTTCTGAACTGATCATCAGCTTCCATGGCAAAAGGATCTCCAACACCATAAAATGGACGAGGCAACCGCATCATGCCCCAGTCAAATAGTTGGCTACTGGCATCTGAGCAGTTCATACGTAGCCAGAACTCCGAGCTCACCTCGGTTCGAACCTTGCCTTGCAATTCCCGCAGCTGCAACTCACAAAGGTACAGTGTCAGTGTCAGAGAGATCACAATTTCAAACAAAACAAGGTCACATAACAACAAAGGATCACTCTAGTGTCACACATACCTTAAGCCCATAAAGCTCGAGTAAGCATTTTCCTTGCAAGTCTTCACCTCTACTGGAAGGTAATTCTGATATAAAACACAATACACAGATTTGTTAGCAACCAAATTGACATTGAGTTTCCGGTAAAAAAAATCACAACTTGAGAATGGTTTGAAGTAAAATTAGGAGAATAGATAACCTTCAAGTTGAGATAAGCGGCGTTGGAGATGAGTCTTATTCCGAGTATCAAGTAATTCACCTAATCGAGAACCTGATTCACAGTTTGGTCTCTGCTTCAAAAGTGCATCTTCAAACTCGCCCATCAAATCACCTCCAAAGGGAGTTAATTTATTATTCCCCTGCGCAAAACACAAATTAAAGTAGAAAACTTTAAGAATCTATCTTCACATTTGCTCCCAAAAAAAAACAAACTTTAAAGAATGTAATTGACAATAAACAAGCCACTAAAAGCATGCACCTTCCCGGAAAACTAGAGCTTGGAACTAACAAATTCGAAGTTAAAAATCAGAGGACCACAAAAATCGA